ATATCCTGCTGGAAGCTGGAGGACAAGACACCTGAGAATTCGAGCAGCCGGTGTCAGGTCTCTGGTGGACCGTGGTTATATGGTGATAGCGCATCTTCGTGGTGAGTATATGATCGCTGACCTGTTGACCAAATTGATGAGTGGACAGGTGTATGCAAAGCAAAAGGCACTTTGGGGTCTCCGACTGTTGGTTCAAGGAACTGACTTGAAAGAAGCCTCGCTTGCAATGGCGGTCATGATGGTGGCTGCATCTCTGCAAGGGATGGCAATCGGTGGAGAAGAAGTGTCAACTGCTGGTTTCATTTGCTCAGAAGAAGGGGTGTGCAAGGTTGCCAACACATCTACGGTTATGGTTCTGGCTCAAGGTATTGAAATGCTCGTCAACAATTCAGACCTTGTTGCATTTTGGTGGCAGCAATTATACTCTGGGAGTTGGCATGGTGCCTCTTTCGACGGCTGTATAAATGGCTGTGGAACAAGAAAGCGGTGGTTATTCCTGCGAGTGCCACTTTGTATACAACAGTGGGTGGGAACTGTATGCACGCAAGCAGTGACTGTGATGTTCTGCGATATTCACAGCCCAGGGCTAAGACGCTTTGTAAGCATTGCCTCAAGGATGGCTGGGTGGTGAATGCTGAGTTCCTTGGTGAGGAACGGGCCGCTGGAACGTGAATTTTCCAAGTGCGAGGTGAAGAAATCCTCAATGGTAAAGGATTCAGCCAATGAGCTGAAGGTTCGTCCTGGATGACGTTAAACCATAATGTGCATTTCAAGCAGCTGGCTGCTGCCTAAATGGTAGTTTTTGGCCAAAGATCTGCACCTCCAGTGTGTCCTAGGAAATCCTAGGACAGGGGGAGTGCGGAGCTGCAGTTGGTATTGTAGAAAGGAGTTGGTATTGGAAGTTGAAGGGTCAATGCACCCGGTAATCTCATGGCTCAAGCCATGACCAAAGCGGTCGAAGGTTTCGTAAAAAGTGTGCCCTTGGTTTGGGGTCTTGTTGTGTGGTTGTTGGTTGTTCCAGGGGAATTAAGGGCTTCTGTTGGGGTTGACTGTTTTGTTCCCTGTCCTCCTTCGGTTGCCCCCCGTATAGGGTTTAGGCTTAGACTTCTAGGGCTCAGGGATACGGGGTTCAGGGTATATAGCAACCCAAACCCCTAAGCCCTAAACCCTAAGCTGATTAAAGGACTGAAGTGTCTCCTGCTTGCGCTACTATGTGCTTAAGACCCACCCCCCACAAAGACATAAACCCTAAACCCTAAACCCTAAACCCTAAACCCTAACTTCCCTAAAAATGAAGAATATTGTTCATTTTTTGGGTGGCCCTTAAGGGAAATGGTAGTACAGTGTTCCCTTGAGAAGACGAGTTCAGGGGCGTTCTAAGACCGGAACCCTAAACCCTAAGCCTGGAGACCCGATCTAAAACTCGAGCATCATTCTGAAGCCGACGTGATGCAAGTTTCAAGAACCCCAAACCCCTCCAATCGAACTCCGGGGGTTTGCAGGGTTTGGAGGCTTCATAGTTGTGACAGGGTGCTTAGGAACGCCTCCCGAACCCTTGGAAAACTGCAGCCCAACACCCTGAGATCTGAGTCAGCTACCCATAAAGTGTCGTCTTCGCAGTTTTGTTTAAGGGGAACCTAAACCCCATAAACCCCAAGCTGCAGCCTGCTCTAAATCCTAAACAGCACAACTTGTCCTGCAGGCAGGAGCGATGATGGCGTAACCTGCAGGGGTCTATATGGGAGCGCAACAGGGTTGTAGACAAACCACTCCCCCTCCTAAGCCCTAAACCCCAAACAGGAGTTCGGTACGGACACTTGGGTGACCGAGTGTGCGGAGCTGCTTGCCCCAGCACTGCTGTTGAAGCTTTTGGGTCAACATTTCGGGCTCTATTCGCCAGGCGCTATAGTGTGCAACACTCTTGAAATGCGGTTCCCTTGGGTTCATGTTACTATGTACCCGACCTTGCTCTTTCCTTCGTGAACAGAGAGAAACCTGCATGTCGTACTGTTCAGTGTTATTCTGAATGCTGCAGGTAAGCAACGGGGGTGCCTGGGGCATGAAGTATGCGGTTTAGGGTTTAGGGTTTAGGGGCAATGCTGTGTTGAGTTCCGTTGTCTATTCCTTCATGTCGGCCCTGATACGGCGCCTGAAGCAATCGTTTGAAGACAATCTCCAGACCCTAAACCACGAAGCCCAAAGCCCGAAGCCCCAAACCCTGAACCCCCAAAACCCAAGCCCTTGACGCGAAACCCTAAACCCTGGACCCCGAAACTCTAAACCCTAAACCCGAACCCTAAACCCCTAAGAACCCTAAACCCCTAAGAACCCTAAGAACCCTAAGAACCCTAAGAACCCTAAGAACCCTAAGAACCCTAAGAACCCGAAACCAAACCGCCTGCACCTTCGAGATTCAGAAGGGTCAAGAAAGACCCCAGGCTCCCCGAACAGTTGGGAGTCCACCGAACTTCTCGGGTTTAGGGTTTAGGGTTTAGGTTTTAGGGTTTGGGGTTTGGGGTTTAGGGTTTAGGGTTTTGGTAGCAGGGTGTAGGGTTTATAGGTCCAAGGTAATAAGGCGGTTTCTGCGGCTCAGGGCTTGCAGGGCTCAGCTTTGGCGTACAGGGTTTAGGGTTTAGGGTTTAGGGTTTAGGGTTTATGGTTTAGGGTAAGATCAATAGGGCATTCTGCTGAATGAGGAAGGCCTGTTAGGGCTTCAGGTTTACAACTTGTGTTTGAGAGTGTAGGTTGGGGTTTCGGGTTTAGGGTTTGGGGTATAGGTTGAGGGGCTGCTTGGTTCCAGCCATAGGCTTGCAAAGTGTCAGGGCTTAGGGCTTGTGAAATCCGGGACGTAGGATTTTAGGGGCCTTCGCTAAGTACGCACTACGACTTCTACGTGGGCAAGTATTACGGCCTGGGCCAAAGAAACTCTTCAACGTCGAGCACCAACAGCGCCAACGGCACCAAAAAGACCCTTGGGCGGTTTACCCAGGAAGCCTTATACCTGTAGTGCCGATAAGTCCTAAACCCTGCACAGCACACGCTTAAGTTGAGATACTGGGTTGCGATTTTCATCTATGTACTTTTTCAGGCAGGATTTCCGGAAGCAGGCGCCCGGCGTTTCGGCTTTTTCCCCACTCACGCCTGAACCTTCAATTAGGGCAAGCAAGTAGGACGCCAGCGGGGCACAAAAAAACAGAATACAAACGAGCTTGAACACTAAACCGTAAAGCTTGAGACCCAAAACCCCAAAAAGCCAAACCCTAAACCCTAAACCCTAAACCCACAACCCTAAGCTCTACACTCCCAAAGCCTGCTTCCCACCTACGGTGTTTGGGCACGCGACTACTTAGTTCCATGTTGGGTTCGGTTATGGACCACACTCCCAGCAAGTACCCTTAAACCCTAAACTCCCCTAAACCCTACACCCTAAACCCCCCCCTAAAACGCCCCCGAAACCTCCGAACTTGGTTGTTCGGTGTTTCTCTGTAGTTGAGCTGCAAGCCTGTCGAGCACTCTAAGCCCGAGATGAAGCAGACAGAACTCCTTACCCCTCCCCCTTACCCACGACACTCTAAGGGGCTCAGGTTTAAGGTTTAGGGTTCGTCCCTTAACTTAAGGTAAGCACACAGAGCCTTCAAAGAGCCCTCTTATGTGACAGGCGCCGTGCTTTACATATGCCCCCAAGAGCATTGGCGTCGGAGAAAGGACTCGTTTTCCAAGGGTAGTCGAGGCCGACGCAGCAACGAGTTGGGTTTAGGGGTTCAGGGGTTTAGGGGTTTAGGGGTTTTGGGGTTTTGGGGTTTTGGGGTTTTGGGGTTTTGGGGTTCAGGGGTTTAGGGGTTTAGGGGTTTAGGGGTTTAGGGGTTAGGGAAACTAGGACCCAGAGTAGGCCCTTATTCCCTTGTTGTAGAGTATAGGTTCCCTTTTCAGCCCCTTGAAACCAAAAAAAGTCACCCTCATTGCGTACATATAGGTTTAGAAAGTACGCTCGCATGATAACCTAAAGCAGGAGCCCCAAACCCTAAACCCTAATCCCTAAGCCCTAAGCCCTAAGCCCTAAACCCTAAACCCTAAACCCCTCCGCAGCCCCGCGATGCTGAGGGATGCGAACTACTACTCCAACCTGACCAGCTATGAGGTTATGAGCTGCTACGAGCGCATTCCTTTTCAAGGGCTTCCTCTTGTAGGGTCTTGGTCCCTAACCGCTGCGATAGTCTAGGGGTTTCTGTGAAGGATAAGAAGTGTCTGAGTCAAAGCTGACTCCTAAATCTCAGTTCAATCTTCACCCCGAATTTCAGCTGAGAGGCCGTAGGCCCAAAGCCTTAACCCCAAACCCTAAGCCCCTCGCTTAATTGGAGATTCACAGTATTTGCCAAGTAGGGCTGTTGTACTTGGATCCGGGTTTCAGGAAGTTCTACAGTTGCCCGGCCCATCCTAACCCTAAACCCTAAACCCCCAAACCCCAAACCCCAACCCGCACTTTCTCTATAGGATGCTTCAACCCCGAAGCTCTTACAACGCTTTGAGGCAGTTGAGGGTTTCGGGGGTGGAGACTTGAGGTTCCACAGCCCCAAACCCCAAAACCTGAACCCTAAACCCTAACCCCCTAACCCTAAGCCTAAGCCCGCAATCGCTCCTTATGGGAGGGACCTGGAAGGCTGCAGGACTCAACCTCTCTTTCACCCTCGCCATATACCTTAGGCGGCTGAGGGTTTAGGGTTTAGGACTGCATACTCTACGGACACTGGCATGTTTATCGAAATCATGTCATCCACACCACGATTAAGGTTTAGGGTTGGGGTTCAGAGGCTTAGGCCTTCCAGGCTTGAGGGTTCAGGGCTGAGAGGGTAAACCTGTGAGGTCCAGCCTACTTCAATTCCGTACTTCGGGACGCGTACGTTGGGACGGATATTTGCGTGATGAACGTTCGTCGGGCTTAGGGGTAAGACATGGAATCCCCTAAAACCCCCCTCCCTCGGCCTGTCCCTCGTGTTTTATGTATGCCTCTGCACTGTTCCTTCTGGCCATCCGCAAAAACACCACCGAATCTGCGCATGTGCTAGTGCATAATTAATGTAATGTATATATATATATATGTGTGTATGTATATGTATATGTATATGTATATGTACATGTACATGTACATGTATATGTATTTGTATATGTATATATATATATATATATATATATATATATATATATATCCTTTTTTTGGGATTCATTCCCCGCCTGACAAGTGGGGCTGAGCAAAAGAGGCACGCATCATGTGACGCGACGTGCTCAGGACAGCAAGCAGTACAGCTTTCAGGCAGTACAACATTCAGGACAAAAGGCGGGCAAGTGCAGGCGGCCGCGAAGGCTCAGGCGGGCAACTGTGCCGAAGAATGTTGCCTCAACAAGCAGGCCATGAAGTTGCAGGCAGGAAGCTGCACCAGAATTTTGCTGCCACAAGCAGGCCAGAGAGGCTCACAAAGGCAGCTGCGCCAGTTGCTGTAAACCCTAAGCCCTAAGCCCTAAGCCCTAAACCCTAAACCCTGGACCCTAAACCCTAAACCAGGCAGGCTCAAGCGGACGACTGCACCAGAATGTTGCCTTAACACGCAGGCCAACAAGCTCAGGCTGGCAACTGTGCCGGAATGTTGCCTGGCAACGGAGGGCAACTGCAGCGGAATGTTGCCTCAATAGGTAGGGCTGGGAAGCTCATGATAAGGCGGCCGACGCTGCCGAATTGCAGGCCAGGCTGACGATACCAAAATGTGAATCACTGCAACTGGCTCTGAAGGGGGTGGGGCGTTTCGAAGTGGTAGTCTATTTGTTTTTTTGCCCTAAATCCTAAACCCTAAACCCTAAACCCTAAACCCTAAACCCTAAACCCTAAACCCTAAACCCTGATTGTATAAATATTTATGTTCAAGCCCAAGGCCAAACACATCCCCTAAACCTTCAACTCTGTACACCCTGATCCCAAGACCCTCCTCAACCCTAAACCGACACCTTGCTGATGGTTTAGGCCATGTAGGGTTTAGGGTTTAGGGTTTTACCCTAAACCCCTAAGCCCAAACCCTTCAGGGTTCTGATGGTTTAGGCATCGTTTTGCCCAGGCTTTGCCTTTGCCGCGATTCCTACGGGCACGGTTTGCGGAGATGGCCAGCTGGCACAAGAGAGAAGCTCAGGTTAGGCAGGGTCTTGGGACATTTTTGATTTTCCCTAAACCCCTAAACCCTAAACCCCTAACCCCTAAACCCTAAACCCTAAACCCTCCCTCTTATGATCATATTCAGGAAAATGTTTCAGATGGTTTTTTGATGGCCATCCAAGCAGGGCTCACGGTCTAGGTTCCAGGGTTCCGAGAAGGATTATACCCAAATGCCTGAAACTTGGGCGATCCTGCTTGCCCAGGTTACATCCTGGAGCCTGAGCGAGACACCCCTGACTACGTTCGAGGGACGCTAGGGTTACAAAATGGCAGTTTTGGGGCTGGACAGGTTTCTGGGGGTAAGGGTTTAGGGTTTAGGGTGTGCAAGGCATATGTATGGTTTTTTTTCTGACAGAGTTCGTAGCGGCACCAAAGCCGTTTGCTGTGAGGCTTCTGGGTTCTCAGGGTAACTTATAGTATTGTATTCGCCTTCTTCGTGGTTTGAGGGATGATGCGGGGTTTAGGGTTTAGGGTTAATCCCAACCTTAAGCCCCAGTGATTAATTGCGACGATGCGCTTGGGGATGGCTTGCACATGCTACGAACGACGTTTGTTTGAATCGGCCTCTTCTCCATCGTCTAGAGTCCCAAAGCTTGTCAGAAGATGCGAAGATGTGAACCGACCCCACCCCCAATCCTATCCCCTGAACCCGACCGACCCCCCTAAACCCGAAACCCTAAACCCTAAACAAACTTCATCCCACGTCGGACTTCGGGGTGTCATTGCGCGCGAAGAGTTTGACGTCGTGGATATGTCATGCTCTCGTTCCCTTGCTTGAGGGGTCGAGGATCGAAGGTGTGCCCAGTATAGTGGTTTTGCATGAACCCCGAAACCCTAAACCCTAAACCCTAAACCCCTCTTTTCAGGGCTTAGAGTTTAAGGTCTAGGGCCCGCTCTTCGTTTTTCAACAAACCTTGGGGATTCGGTGTCCTAAACCCAAAAAGCGAGGTGCATTCCCATCCCGGAGAATCTGAAGACCGCGGTGGACGGCACCGAGTTGAAGGCGCCAGGGGCGGTCTGCAGGGCCTAAACCCTAAACCTTAAACCCCTAACCCTAAACCCTAAACCCTAAACCCTAAACTCAATCGGGGTGTAGGACTTCCAGGATCCCGAGTGGCGCTTTTACAAGCAGGGGGGCGTGGCCTGGAAGCGGCTGAAGGCTTGGGTGCTAAGCAAGTAAACCCTAAACCCCAAACCCTGAATTTAGGGTTGCGGGTTTAGGGTTTAGGGTTTAGGGTTTCCGAAATTGGGGGGGGAAATCCTACCATTTGGGCTATATTAGGGTTCCTTCTTATCGTAAACCCCCTGAACCCTAAACCCTAACCGCTTGTCCGCAGGCAGGAGCCACGACTTGGCCCTCTGATTGCCCACGATTTGACATCACCCTTGGCTGCATTCCCGTGGTGTGTCTCGGCTTGTTGGCTTGGGGTTTAGGGTTTAGGGGTTTAAGGGTTTAAGGGTTCAAGGGTTTGGGGGATTTTAGGGTTTAAGGGTTTAGGGGGGTTTTAGGGGGTTTGAGGGGGGTTTAGGGCTTAGGGATCCGGGTTTAGGAGTGCGGGTGCAGTTTCAGGTTGTTGGATTTGGGAGTAAGGGTGTTAGGAGTCTATGGTTTCGGGGACCGCCAATCCTAGCCGTAGGCTGCTTTGGGCATATTTGGTATTTCTTAAGAGGATGTTCTTCAGGAAATTGTTCAGATGGTGTTAAGGGCCATCCTAGTTGCAGATGGGCCTAACCCCTATAACCCTAAACCCTATAACCCTAAACCCCTAAACCCTAAACCCTAAATCCTATGCCCTAAGCCCTAAACCCTAAACCCCTAAACCCTGAATCCTAGCCGAAGGCTGCCCCAGTCCTGTGTGTGGAGCTGGCTCTCGCAGAACTGCGATGCGCTGGATGACGGCAGCTCTTGGGACTGCAAGCGTCACTTCAAACCCCCTAAAGCCCTAAACCCTAAACCCTAAACCCTAAACCCTAAACCCTAAACCCTAAACCCTAAACCCTAAACCCTAACCCTAAACCCCAAACCCTAAACCCCAAACCCTAAACCCTAAACCCTAACACTAAACCCTAAACGCCTTCAAGCCCTGAAGCCCTCAACGCAAAAAGGCCCAAAGGTCCTTGCTATTTTCGCGTGGCACCCTCAGAAGTCGGTGCGTGTAGCAGATGCAGTGATTGACATCCCACCAAAATTCCATGCACCTGCCCAGAGTTTAGGGTGTTGGGGTGTTAGGGTGGTTGGGACTCGGGAGTTGGGTGGGAGGGCTCTTAAAGTAGCTCCTCTAGGGGAAGCTGGCATTCTACCAAGTATGCATGGGTACCTAAGCCTGAAGCCCCCCCAAAAGCCGGTCCCCTGGGCCCTGAACCCCTGTACGTAGAAGCCCAAGGAATACCCTTTTTGAGGGAGTTGTTCAAACAAGGACGCCCACAGAAATCCCTTTTGTTGCAGGTCTAAGGCTTCGGGTTCAGGATTTGGGTTTTAGGGTGCTTTCAACGACATCTGCCATTCAACAGAAACGGCTGCCTTTCGTTTCACCTCGGTGCTGGGTATCCTAGCTTACAGGCTCAAGACTTCTGAACAAAAATGGGTTCAAGGTCTAGAGGGACTAGGACCCAGAGGAGGCCCTTATTCCCAAAAAGCTTCGGTTCCCGAGCTCCGCTTACATGGTAGGGAATGCTTTGCCTGCATGGTGAGGAAAGCTGATCAGCCCCTTTAAACCAAAAAGGGCACAGCAGCAAGCGACATTTGCGTGGTACACTACTTGAAGGTTCATGGGACTTGCTAACCAATTATAACTGTACTTATAACCCTACTTATAATACCCCTAAAGGGCCTTATAGGGGTATTATAGGTAAGGTTATAAGTACAGTTATAATTGGTTAGCAAGTCCCATGAACCTTCAAGTAGGGGCGTTGGCCAGGAATTGCTTGCTTTTGGCGCCGGCCCATAGAGTAGGCTCCATGCCAAAGCCGTTACGTTTAGGGTTTAGGGTTTAGGGTTTAGGGTTTAGGGTTTAGGGTTTAGGGTTTAGGGTTTAGGGTTTAGGGTTTAGGGTTTAGGGTTTAGGGTTTAGGGTTTAGGGTTTAGGGTTTAGGGTTTAGGGTTTAGGGTTTAGGGTTTAGGGGGCTTTACCCCGGCGCACACAACCGATTTCACTGGGGCCACGAAAAATCGGTGACGGATTGCTCGCAGAAGAAGTTTTCAACGACCTTAGAATGCATTCATCAGTGGTTTTTAAATCCGCAACCTACATCCTCAAACCCTAAACTCCGAAACCCTAAACTGTAAACCCTAAACCCTAAACCCTAAATCCAAGTCATCAAATGGTGACTCAGGGGTAGGTTCGCATGGCCATTTCGAGGGCATGGCGTAGAGGTCACAAGAAGGTTTGGGGTTTAGGGTTTAGGGTTTAGGGTTTAGGGTTTAGGCTTGTTGTTTCTTAGGGTGTAGGGTGTAGGCTGCAGGGTTTAGGGTTTCGGCAAGCATGTAAAGCGGAATAAGCAGCGGGCAACATAAACCGTGATAAGTCTGGCAATCGGAGCCAGATGCAAAAAGAGCTCCGCGCATAGCTCTGAATAGTTCCAGAACAGAACATCGGCGTTTACAGTGTTGTTACATGGGTGGTTCTCGATCTTGGGACCCCTTTCTGCCCCCCTGTATAGTATGGCACCTTTATCACAAGGACCCCCCAAAAGGGAGCCTAATTCAAAGAACTACCCACACGCAAAGCCATAAGCCCTAAGCACTAAAACCCTAAACCCCCTACATCCACAGGTGGCGCAGGCCCCCCTGGCAAAATTTACTACGATGCCTGCAGCGCCGGGCCGGATATCCAATGCCAGACATGGGACATGTTTGCGACTGGGAATGCAATCTGTGGGCTGAAAACACCACGGGTTTAGGGTTTAGGGTTTTGGGTTTAGGGTTTAGGGTTTAGGGTGGACCCCGTGAAGCCCCCAAACAGAGGCCAAAACCCATCAAAAGTGCCATGTGTTACGTACTTTGGGGGTTTAGGTAAACCTTAAACCCTTCCCCGGTCATGAAGAGGACAAGCCCCTGGAGTTGCTTTGTTGTTGCCTCCGGAAGATGTTAGCCAAGGGTTCTTGTTCAGGTTCATTCTGGGGTTTGTTTAGGGTTTACGTTTTAAGGTTTAGGGTTTAGGGTTAGGGTTTAGGGTTTAGGGTTTAGGGTTTAGGGTTTAGGGTTTAGGGTTTAGGGTTTAGGGTTTAGGGTTTAGGGTTTAGGGTTTAGGGTTTAGGGTTTAGGGTTTAGGGTTTAGGGATGCGGATGCGACATGCATCCTACAGCCCTTACTCCTACTCACAAGCCCGGAACCCCACAAACCCCCTAGCAAGAAAAATGGCCCAGGGCAAGGCGCATCCGTCGTACAACTGCGAAGCCACGGAGAAGTGCCCTGACCCGTTCGCTGCCCGGCTGCAGATTGACCTGTAGGCCCTTCAGGGTTTAGGGTTCAGGGTTTAGGGTTTAGGGTTTAGGGCTCAGTGCGATTTCTTCGAAGAACTTCTTGAAGCACAAAGGCTTTTCAAGCCCAAACCCTAAACGCTATCACCCTAAACCCTATAAAACCTAAACCCTATAAAACCTAAACCCATCAATGCTGAAAACTCGGCTGTGGGTTGGGGCAGGCTCGAAAGCTGAGCACACCGGCACATCGACCCGCGCGCTGGTGTGCGCGGAACATCTGGGGGGTTTCCGAAAATTGGGGACTCTAAAATAGACCCCCCAAATAGTAAGATCTCCTGATAATGAGGACCCCAATGAGGTACCCTAGCCAACCTAAACCCACCCCTTCCCCCAGCCGAACACTCGAGAACCCTAAGCCTTATAAACCCCAACAACCCTAAACTCCTAAACCCCCAAAACCCTTAAACCTCGACACCCGCAACCCTCAAAACCCAAAACCCTCGAACCCCTAAACCCGAAACTCCTAAATCCTAATAAAACCCGGCCCTTGCGCACATTAGGATTGCATCTCCATGTCTGGCGCATTGACGATGATGGTTTCCAACATCGACAAAGTGGCAGGCTGCTGGGCTGGTCTCACGTGTAGGGCTTAGAGTTTGGGGTTCCGGGTTTGGGTTTAGGGTTTAGGGTTTAGGGTTTTAGGGTTTTAGGGTTTTAGGGTTTAGGGTTTAGGGTTTAAACCCTTAATCTTGATGGCGTAAGGGTTTCCTTCTTTAAAGGCTTCAGGAAACAGAAACAGGGTCTCCTTACTGAGGGAACTGAGCCTGGGCTTGAGGGGTTAGAGTTTAGGGTTTTAGGGTTTAGGGTTTAGGGTTTAGGGTTAACGGCCAGGGTTCAGGGGGTTAGGGATGAGGGCTGCGGGTCTAGGAGCCGGATACTTGTGGCTATAAGCCCATCATGGCTCAGGAGTAGGAGGGGTACAAGGTTCAGCGTTTAAGGTCGCAGGGTGTTTTAGGATTCAGGGTATAGGTTTCAGAGCATATGAGGGCAGCGATTCGGGCCGGCATCTTCGTTGACATGGAAATGGTCGGTCACTCTAAACCCTAAACCCTAAACCCTAAATCCTCCACCCAAGCTTTGATGGAGGAAAGGCTGGCACGGCCCATAAAGTCTTCACCCACCTTCTTGGTAGCCCAGTGGTACCCTGTACCCCCGTTCTTTGGGTTCAGGGTTCCCCTCATAGAGTAACCAACCCAAGAAAGGGGTTTAGGGTTTAGGGTTTAGGGTTTCGGGTTTAGGGTTACTGCGCCACCACCAAGCCCTTTAGCACGCAAAAAGGGGCAACTTTGAACCCTAGTACCTTGCACGGGTGCGGGAGCATGCCAATGGAAGCCAAGACAACGGCGAGTTGTTCGTGAACGGCCTGAAGCGCCGGGCTCGGATTTTCCTTGCTGTTGGTTTTTTGGCTTCTGGGGCTTAGGGCTTTAGGCTTTAGGCTTTAGGGTTTAGGGTTTAGGGTTTAGGGCTAGGATTCAGAGGGCCCTGACTCCCTTCGTTTAAGGGCTTCGGTTCCCTTCAAAAAGCCCCTTGAAAACCCAAAAGGGCGCCCTGTTAACTTTCTAGGTTACTCTTGGGTAAACCCTAAACCCTAAACCCTAAACCCTAAACCCTAAACCCTAAACCCTAAACCCGGTGTTGTTCCCAGGTTCTTCTTGGGGCTCGAGAGTGTAGAGTTTGAGGAACAGAGCCGGGCTCCCCTGTGTCGGGTAGCTGCAACTCTCAACCATAAACCCGAATTCCTCAACCCTAAATGCTAAATCCCAAATCCTAAACCCTAAACCCTAAACCCTAAATGCTAAAAATCCCAAATCCTGACAACCAGTATAAGCAGTATATGCAGGAGCCGTCAAGCCTGGACCCTGAAGCCCCAAACGCAGAAACCTAAAGCCAAACCCTAAACCCTAATGTTTAGGGTTTGGGATTTAGGGTTTAGGGTTTAGGGTTTGGGGGTGAGGGTTTGGAGTTTAGGGTTCTAGGGTTCTAGGGTTCAGGGTTTAAGGTTGAGGGTTCCCTCCCAGGTGCCTTCCCAGACGCACTAGATACCCTTTCACGAATGTATCGATGGGCCCTTATTGTGTGGAAACCCCTCAAATCCCCCAACTCCCCAAAAACCTAAATGCCCTGAAGCCCCAAACTCCAAAGCCCCAAACCCTAAACCCTACACCCGTATGGCCTGCAGCCTAGGGAGGGTTTGGGTTCAGGGCTTGGGGCTTGAAGTTTACTGCGGTTTTAGGGTTTAGGGGCCAGGGCCCAGGATAGAAGGTTTAGGTTTAGGGCTTAGGGTTAAGGAGAAGGATGAAGGTTTACCCTAAACCCTAAACCCTAAACCCTAAACCCTAAAAAGTTTCAGAAATGGGTGTGGGGCTCTACAGGGTCTAGCGTCTGGTTTCTCGAGGTCTTGGGTGACAAGGCCTCAGAAAGAGTCGGGTTTAGGGTTTAGGGTTTAGGTTTTAGGCCACCCAGCATCGCAAGCCTTCACCGAAGCCCTTTTTCTCCAACTTGGGGAGCAAACTCCCTCAATTCGGTTTCGGGCTCAGGGCTTCGGGCTTAGGGCTAGGGCTTAGGGCTCAGGGCTTCGGGCTTAGGGCTCAGGGCTTAGGGGCTTAGGGCTCAGGGCTCAGGGCTTCAGGGCTTAGGGCTCAGGGCTTAAGGGCTTAGGGCTTAGGGCTTAGGGTTTAGGGTTTAGGGTTTAGGGTTCCATCAGGAATGGCATCCAGTCGGTGGCCCCGGGTGTTGAGGAGTTCAACATGCGGCTCGGCTTCTGCTTGGCAGAGGAGGGGAAATGATTAGGGTTTAGGGTTTAGGGTTAAGGGTTTAGGGGCTCATGCCTGGCCCGTAGAAGAATCGCTTGCAGCCCCGCAACACCGTCTTAGCATGCGCGCCATCCTCCTGGGTAGGGTCTCATACAGGAGCCAAAACAATAATAATTTGCCCCGAGTGCCCCGTCAAAATCCCTTCTATAAGTTCAGGCTGGAAAAATGGTCAGGTTCAAATTGGAACCCGAAACTCTGCGATTTCAAACACGCGCTTGAGGCCCAAGTACGGGCTGCCCGAAACCCTACACCCGAATGTCAGGGTTTAGGGCGCAATGCTCGGGGTTTCGGGGCTTGGGGTTCCGAGCTCGAGGGCCGCGAACCACCCTAGCGGACACTTACTTGGACCTTCGGGCTGTCTGCTGCAGAGCTGGAGCTGTTCGTTTCGGGTTTAGGGCTTAGGGTTCAGGGTTTAGGGTGTAGGGTTTTGGGGCAGAAGACAACCCAAGTGCGCGCCGTCTCACCAGATTCTGTGCTTGAATACAAACTTGCCGAACCCGCCAGTAACTCCAGTAGCTCCAACTATGGATCTCACTTTGCATCTTGCAACAACTACTGTTTGCTTAAGAACCCCAGGAAAACAGAAGATAATGATCCATGCATATATCAGGAAGAATATGTTTTTGCTTTTTTTGGGGGGGTCTTAAGCAAACCCTAAACCCTAAGCCCTCTGCACCGTATTGTTGGGTTTAGGGTTCGGAGTTTGGGGCAGCAAGCGCGTATATGCCAACCCCTCAACCCTACACCCCTCTGAAGGGATTTATACACGGTTTAGGGTTTAGGGTTTAGGGTTTAGGGTTTCGGGTTCCGGGTTCCTAGAAGGCTCCGACTGAGAGTTGTAAGAAAGTGGACTCGGGCGGTGAACCCCAAACCCCTAAACCCTGAACCCTGAACCCCAAACCCCAAACCCAAACCAGGGGCTTTGCGGGCCAACCCATAAGGGAGGGCTGATGCCAAGACCCCAAGACCTCAATCCTAGGCCGTATGGGTTTCGGCTTTTGGGGGCGTTGGGGTTCTGTATTGGGATTTCGCCCTTAATACACTAACAGTCCTTAATAGGGACCCTTTTAAGGACTGTTAGTATAAGGGGGACCCAAATTCTATAGGTTTAGGTTGTAGAGTCGCGGGTTTTCTGTTTAGGGCTTTCTTTGTGTCGAGTTCAGTTTCGGCCTTGAGATCTCTTGTGCTTATGGGGTCCTTAAGGGAGGGTTTAGGGTTTAGGGTTTAGGGTTTAGGGTTTAGGGTTTAGGGTTTAGGGTTTAGGGTTTAGGGTTTAGGGTTTAGGGTTTAGGGAGGGTTCATGGAGGGTACCTACCTAGAACCTCAGGGAAGCACAGGGCCTTGCAGGGTAGTGGGAGTATTAGGGAACCTTGGGTCACCTACCTGCATCCTGACATCCCTTAACTTGAGCCCTCTTGCAACCCTAAGCGGTTTAGGTTTTAGGGTTTAGGGTTTAGGGTTTAGGGTTTAGGGTTTAGGGTTTAGGGTTTAGGGTTTAGGGTGCCATAAACCCGAACTCTTGTGCCCTGCAGATATCTCACCGACGACCAACAGATCTTGCCCTCTTCATTCGGCGGCGGTTGGCGACGGCTTGCTGCTTCGCTTGGAGACTTCTTCGTGGTGATGCTGGGTCGCAAGCATCTTCCGCAGGGTCCCTGAACCCTAAACCCCCTAAACCCCTAACCCTAAACCCCCTAAACCCTAAACCCCCTAAACCTTAAATCCCTAGACCCTAAACCCTCAACCCCAAAAGCGGGTCAAAGCCCCCATGTGGGGCTGATCAAATGTCCCCAGTGCCTTCTGTGTTGGGATGGATGCCAAGAAGGCTCCATATTTTGGAGCATGTATCGTCTGCAGGGTGCCGGGAGGAGGAACCAAAGCGTAGATCCCCGGTAAGGGTTGCCCAGGAGTAGCAAAGGCTACTTGATTCGGGTGCGGTGTGTGTGTGTGTGTGCAGGGTTTATTTTGCAAGCGGCACTGAGCCAACGAGGCTGGCTAACCATGGGTATCTATTTGCAGGTACGGTTAGTGTGCTGGGATCACTTTAACTACAGAGACCTGCACATTTAGAAAGCCTCACGTTCATGCTTAGATCAGTAGGCGTTCAAGTATAGCTAGAAGTCTCCTCATGATCTTTTCCGCGCTCCGTCCTAGTCCATCATGGTGAGGCATCCGTTTGCGTCCTTTTTCACACCTTTTCGAGGTTCATTTGCGGATCTAGGTCTGTGTGTTTTCAAGGTTCTCGTATCCATGTCAGCTGTTTGGGTCTCACAGGGTTTTGTCAGTCTGCAGGGCTGCTAAGGCTTTAGAAACCTTAAGCCCTAAAGCCTAAACCCCATCTAGGGTGCCCAGTAGTACCCTTAATCCCTTTTTTGGGGGGGTTTAGGTTCCCTTATAAACCCCTTTAAGCAAAAAGGGGCACCCTTTTTAAGCCCAGGTTACTGAGCAGCCTAGCCGTAAACTTCTTTGTTGCGCACGAGGAATTACAAGATCTTGTCGCTGGCACGGGGCCCCAGCTTGACAGGGAACCGTCAAGAGTCCAAGCCCTTTGTCTGTTTAGAGTTTAGGGTTTAAGGTTTAGGGTTTAGGGTTTAGGGTTTAGGGTTTAGGGTTTAGGGCAAAGACTCCCGTATCATTAGGGAGGCTTTTAAAGTCATAACTTCAGAGAACAAAGGTTTGGCTCTCATTCGTAAACCCGAAACCATGAACCCTACAACCCTAAACCCTAAAACCTGAACCCTAAACCCTAAACCCTTACAGCCTACGTCCTGACCCGTAGTCGGTGTGGGCCGCAGAGCTCACAAGGCTTCGAGGATGGATCCCATTAGGATTCTGGGTTTAGGGTTTCGGGTTTAGGGTTTAGGGTTTAGGGTTTAGGGTTTAGGGTTTAGGGTTTAGGGTTTAGGGTTTAGGGTTTAGGTTCCCAAACGGGACTTTAAGTAAGGTCAAATGCCAGAGTTGGGTTCCGCAATCCCTAGCCTCAGCCTTGAATTCTGAGGGTGTGAGCCACGCACGAGAATCCTCTCTCAGACAGAACCATGGGTGGATGAGCCCCTTTAGGGTTTCGGGTTTAGGGCTTGGGGGGGGGTTAGGGTTTAGGGTTTAGGGCACCTCTTCAGGCCACGGAAGACCTGGAGACACCCTTTTTTGAAAGGCTCAGGATCACAGACAGAAACCTGGCATGAAAGTACAAAGCTCTCGAGCCCTACCCTAAACCCCAAACCCTAAACCTTCTATTCGCCAAGCTTTGTGAGAAGGGGTTTATTTAGGGTTTTGGGCTTAGGGTTTAGGGCTACTAGGTCCCACTACACGTTGTGCCGCCCAGCCCTACACCGTCTTCCCTGGTGTGGTCCTGAACTCATCGGCCGCCATCCTCTCCGCGGCCAACGCCTTCTTTGAGAACTTTGGGTTAAGGGGTTAAGGGGTTAAGGGGTTTAGGGTTTAGGGTGTCGGAGGGTTTCGGGCTTAGGACTTCGGGTTGGGGGTTTCTCAGGGCAGTTTCATGGGCCCTTAATATGGTCTATTACGTCCTTCAAAGGGTTCTGTGTATGGGCCCTTAATTCGTGCAGGGTATATAAGGGGTGGAAAAGGGGCACCCGTTTAAGGGCCCATACTAAGGGACCATGTAACTATTCTTAGAGGGTTTCGGGTTCGGCTTTGGGGTTTAGGGTTCAACGTTTAGGGTTTAGGGCTCAACGGTCTCTCGGATTAGGGTCTAGGGTTCAGGTCTCCATTTTCTTGTTTAGCCTGAACCTCATGTACAGCTCAAAGGCGCACCTTCAAGTAAACCCAAGCACCCTAAGCTTCAAACCCAAACCCTACACCTTAAACCCTAAACCCTAAACCCTAAACCTTCAAACCTCAACTCTGAACCCTACTGTAAACCCTGGACCCTCCCATTTGCCATATTGCGCGGGTGACGGACCGGTATATACTAGACCCTGAGTTCTAAACCCGAACTCCCATGAAGCCTAAACCCGAAACCCGAAACCCTAAACCCTAAACCCGAAACCCAGCCAAGGAACTCCACGAACTCCACGAACTCGAGCAATGCCACTGCGAATGCTTCTGCCCCATTCTCGATCCTTTCGATGGAGTGTCCGAGACCGTTCTGGAAGCTGTTTTTTTTCTGGTGTGTCTGACGTTGTTTAGGGTTCAGGGTTTAGGGTTTAGGGCTTTGGGTTTAGGATTCAGGGTTTAGGGTTTAGGGTTTGGGGTTTAGAGTTTAGGGGTTTAGGGGTTTAGGTTGTTGGGTTTAGGTTTGTATGCAGTTCAGCCGGTTCCGCTTGCAGGGGGCCCATGCGAAGGTAAAATTACAGCACAGGGCTTCCAAGATCTATTCTAGCTTTAGCGTGAGACCCACACAGACACATGGTGACGTAGTTACATGCAAGACGCTCCCTGGCGACCCTAGGCCCATCAAACGAAAGCCCTTGAATATTGCAAGATACACCAAGTTGCTAAAAAGGCGCTTTCTGTAGCAAGGGGCCTTGCAACATGCGCTTATATGGGGAATACGGTTCTCAAGCGACGACCCGTCGAAAATCTACCACGCAAGCCTCGCACTTGAGAAATACTGTGAACAGATGCTGGTTGCATGCACTTTGCATCCGGAGTGACCCGCCAAAGAGCGTTGCTCAGCCATCAACTTGCTCTCGAAACCTACGCGGGAACCCTAAACCCTAAACCCTAAACCCTGGGTTAGGGCTTAGAGTTTAGGGTCCCTTTCCTGAACCCTGAACCCTCAACCCTAAAGGTTTGTCAACAACACCGTGGCAACTCTCGACGAGATACAGGGAACTGGGGCGCCTAGGCAGAGGTCAAGCCCTAAACCTTCAGCCCCAAGACCCTTTAGGGTTTAGGGTTTAGGGTTTAGGGTTTAGGGTTTAGGGTTTAGGGTTTAGGGTTTAGGGTTTAGGGTTTAGGGATCCCAACCTAGACCCTAAACCCTGGACCCAGCACCCTCCAAAAGCCCTAAACCATTAAAGACCCTACACCCTAAACCCTAAACCTTCGGCCCTAAAGCCTACTATTCGTGTTTGGGTTTTTGTAGAAACTACAATAAGGAGAATAAAAGTTAAACTGTCAGGAGGGTTTGAGAGTCAGCCAAGCTGTGCCTGCTTGCTAGAGTTGCCCCGATCCGGGTTCATACACCTCTGGTTTAGGGTTTAGAGGTCTAGGGTGCCCTTATACTAACAGTCCTTATGTAGAGGTCCTTGTTAAAGCTGTAGTGGGTCCGGGCTGTCCCCGTAATCCGAGCAAGCTTCGTGGTGCATAGGGTTTAGGGCTTCGGGCTTAGGGTTGAGGGCTGTTCTGCCTTTTCCAGACGTCTGGGTTTTGGCCTTGCGGGGTTTTGTTCTAAGAAGCCCCCAAACCTACAACAGTTGTTTATAAGTTAGGATGCCCAGTACTACTACCCTTATTCCCTTTTTGCGGCATGTAGGTTCCCTTATCAACCCCTTTTAAGGAAATTTAGGCAAACAGGGCACCCTTTTTACTCCTATGTTACTGGGCAACCTAGGCAGGAACCCTCAACCCTGAACCCTAAACCCTAAGGCATCTGCCTAAAGACTGGACCCACGCCTCGATCCCTAGCGTCTGCAAGCAGCCCAAGTCCTAGATCTGGGAAGAGGGTTTTGGGTTTAGGGTTTAGGGTTTAGGGTGTGAGACCCTGAGATCGGCATACTTCAGATGCTTGTGGGTTTCGGGGGATTCGGGCACATCTGCGCTGGGAGGTGTGATTTGTTGTTATGAGCGCGGCTTGTGATGGTGTAGCCACACGAAGCCTAAGCCCCATGGCTTTTCGAACCCCAGACCCTAGACCCTAGACCCTAAACCCTAAACCCTATATCCCTCAGAAGACCCGAAAGCCCCCTGTTCTCAGGATGGCGGCGATGGTCCGGATGGTGGTGACTTCGGTGACGACGGCGGCTTCGGTGACGGCGACTTCGGTGACGGCGGCTTCGGTGACGGCCCCGATGGCGGTGATGGTTTTGATGGAGGTGATGGCCCCGACGGCGACGGTGTGCCTGGGCGGAACTCTTTTTCTTTGTTTTGCATGTAGGGTTTTAGGGTTTAGGGAACTTTTGTGGTTTCCTCATTTAGTAGGACTGCTAAAGTTTGACCTTGTTTTTCCTTTGCCAGTTGGAGAAGTCTGCTTTGTTTGCATGTACGTGGGGGGATGTTCGCGCCACATCAAAGTAGATGTATCCACAGTTCTGAGTTGTTCTTCACTTTAGACTTTTGCTATCTTTGTACTTTCGTTGCTTTTTTGTTCCTACCTAGCTGCATCTTCTAGCCTCAGGGATTCCTCTTAAGGGACTAGGGTCCAAGGCCCTGTCTACTTTTCTAATAAGCGCCCTAACCCCAAACCCCAAACCCTAAACCCTAAACCCTAGACAACCCTGGTAAAGTCGTATCTTCCGCCAACCTAACCCAGACGCCGCCGGGCGACGATGACGGTTCGGATCCAGGCGGGAGGGGAGTGAGGTCTTTAGCGTTTAGGGTTTAGGATCTAGGGTTTAGGGTTTAGGGTTTAGGGTTTAGGGTTTAGGGCTAGGGGTTCAGGGCTAGGGTCCAAGGGTTTAGGGTTCAGCATCTCATGTTCGAGTTTTATTAGTCAAGCATTTTTTCTAGCGACAGGAAAATTCCCACCCGCCCAAAGCATCCAACAA